TTTCAACGTTTTCGCGGTCACAGCCACTTGGCCCCCGAGTCAGGTCTCGACCATGCCGTATGGAAAACTTGCTTGCCAGGAGGGAGGGGAGGCACTTGGGGATTAAGCTACTTGTAGTCGGCTCCCCCTCGCCCAAAGCGCCGGGTTTGGTACAGTGTTTTGTTGGTGCTGGCCTGTACGAGTGCAGTGTTTGAGTACTTGTGTTGCTGGAATTTATACCTCCGGCGTCATCCCCCCTTCCCTCTCTCCAGACATGGCATAGCAAGGCAGAACAGGAGTAAAGTCAAATATATCCCCTAGGACGGAATCAAGTGCCGGTACACTTAGCGCCGGATTCGGTCGGGGTGTCCAGAGTAAGGGTAGACCGGACCATCCTGACTCGCTCGCCCGCCGACAACATCCAACTAACCAACGTGCTCTCAAGAGTTGGTGGGTTACGAGGACTTTGCGGAATAAATAATATAATAGAAGGCCGCGTGCTCAACCGTGCCAAGGATGTTTATACAATTCTTGCCACTGCGCAGTATCATACCACCCAAGAGTCCACGTTGTTTACCGGGTCGGCGGACCAATAATATTACCGGTATACTGCGCACGAGGTAAGGTCGAGAAGACGGAAGCGCCGACTTCTCGCGCTGTGCCCATGCCTAGGGTTGCGGGGCTGGTACTATGTACGGTACTCGAGTACCGGTACAGGCACGTGCACGTTTTGGGGAGGGGGAGTCGATTGGCCGCTATTGTACGTGTGAAGTTAGTGATCTGTTGTTCAGAGTGGTTGGCTGGGGAGGGAAGGTCGGCGGGTATTGTCCTGCCACAAGCCATGGACTCACTGTGCTAGTACGGTACTCTGCTCTTCTCTTCTTAGAAGGGAGCATTTGCCGATTCCAAAAGTACTCGCATACCCCAGGCCTAAACGTTGCCAGGATCTCAGGATACTGTACTCTTGGAATCGGCAAGCATCATACCGTATTCGACGATTTTTCGAAGTGTTATAATTGGATCACTTACTTTTTCCCAGTCCGAATACCGGTACTCGAAAAATCGCCTAGCGTGAGAGGCATTCAACCCATGGGTTGAAACCCCTTTATGCAGGCTTTTCGAGTTGAAGGACTTTTTGTGTGTAATGCCTTGTTCGCATAAAGTTCTTGCAGATACACTGGAAACCCGGCCCCGAAAAACGCCCTCCGAACCTGGGGCTGAATGCCTTTACAAGCGCTCGAGCAATAAGGATGTCAGAGCACACCACATTGCTTCAAGTTGTACTCCCTCCAAAAACCAAAGTTGCACGAAAAACGGTTACTCTTGTCCGGTGGGCCCAACCAAGCTTTTGTCGATATCGGCCAACGCAGCACCGCCGAGAAGGCATATATTGGGCACGTAATTGATCTGAAGCAATAACCAACGTGCCGGCTGAATAGTGAGTTAGCCATGATATAATACATCATTAGCAATACCCTCACGAATTACACTAAAGCCTGAATATGACTCCCTCTCTCCCTCAAAAACTTTGAAACCCACGGCACAAATTAAGTGGGCTACTGCACTGCCGGTACGCACGCCCAGCAAAATACGACACACTCATCGTGCAACGTCGCCTTTCCCCGGGCGAAAATTCTCCCAACAAGCACAACACCAAACAAGGAAGGAAGGGAGATTTGCACCACCTGCCGTATCACATCCCATCCTCCGAGATACGTACCGATAGTTGTATATTCAACCAGCGTGCGAATATGATACCGTAGTGCAATACGTATGGTATCCTGCTCCACCACGATTACCACCATAATTTCTCAGGGACTCCCATCACGGCAGTGCTCTCCACTGGCTGAGATCAGTGCCAACTTCCTTCCAGTGGCCAATGAATGAGATCGACTTTATCCGTGGTAGGTGCGTGCACTCGCTCGGGATTTGCGGGCCCAGAACTGCCGGGAAGGGGCAACAGTGGTGAGATTTACAGCAATATCCCATATTCAGTTCGGATAGACTTTATGTACTCCGATTCCCTTTGCTACGGACGCGATTACGATAGGAGGCATTTAATGCACCACGGTCCGAGAGACTACCCCAGCAAGGTGTTGAGGGGAGCATTCCTCCTTTGCGATAACTGTGGCAGTCGGTCACAAGGGCTCCTAAATATTGTATTGTAGAAAGACTTTTAGTAGCATTAAAAAGAATTCAACGCATATAATGGTCTACGTGTCTCACGGTGGGAAACTGTGAGGCTGAGTTCTGTGACGGGCGAAAGGGTTAGCACTCGTATCATATCATACCTGCATGAGGGAAGAAGCCACGGTATCATACTCTACTCGTAGGATGTGGCTGGGCTCCTGCACTCGTACTCGTATAGTACCGGTACCGGTACCCCCACCGTTGCCGCCACGATCGCGATTATCCCAAGGACATTGCAATCCCACGCTCGGGGGGAGGAGTTCTCTGAAAATTCCGCAACACACCGGTAGGGGAGGAAGCTAGAAAAAGCAGAAAAAAAGCTTTTCCCATTCTCGTGAAACCACCGCCACCACCACCACCACCATCACCTCATGAGCGTTTTTTTCGTCGCCGTCTGCGCTCAGAAAAAGAAAGGATGACTTTCTTGCTACCGGCACCCACCGCGTCGGTTGTCGGCTAAATACCTGAATTGGGCCCCCCTTGGTACTCGCAAGGTGGGTCTTTCTGGAGAAGGAAGGGGCTCGGGACTTATGTCGCGGGAGTAGAGAACGGTGCTGGTACTCGAGTACGGTAGATGCGAGGGCTGGTGGTTGAGGTTTGAAGTGTCTTGCATAGGTTGCATTTGCTTTTAACCCCAGGTCCCCGGGTGTTTGACGAAAAATTCCACCCCCCCCGCCCTCTCGAGTTTTTGGTGTCGTGATGAGAAAGTCGGAAGGCACTGCGACGCCCAAGCAGACGTTGTCGGGACAGTCAGCGCTTTGTGTTCAACCGGCATGAGCACCGCAGATAGAGTAAACACGAGGAGGGAAGAACGCTGGGTGAAACCGCTTGCCCTACCGGTACCAGAATTCTACACTGGTAGCCAAAGGGCAAGGAGTGACTAACTTTCACCCCATGCCTCCCCGTACTAATCATAGAGTACTTTGTGGCAGTTCAATGGATCGACATGGAGAGGATCATCTAGCAATGGTCCCAAAAATAAAGCCATCAACCCTATCGCCCAGACCAGACATCACCCCTTCTTTCCTCCAGTCTGGATCTCGTGGGGTGTGGAGGCCGACCGGGGATTGGAGAGTCCCAACATGCTGTCAACGCCACGCGAGCTATCCTCCACAAAGCCAGTCGGGGGGGTTCAGCAGCGGCACGTTTAGCCTGTCCCTGCCTGGCTGTGCCGGGATGCAGGGCGGAAAGTGTGGATGGTGGATGGAGACCTGAGCCCTGAGGGGGGGGAGAGAAAGAGGAGAAGCAGAATTCCCATGTACAAGTACCGTGTACCGGTTCTCGTATCATACCAGAGTTAGGGAAAGGAAACTAACTAAAGTGGGCGCGTGGGGTGGGAGATTTTGGCCGAGATAAAATGGTATGCTGATGTGAGCTGGGTGTGGTTGCGCAGCGATCCGTTTGTGATGGGGGATCCAATACCTGGGCGGATATCTGAAATGTCGCCAAGATGTGAAATACAGCCACAACTCTAGAAATAAGAATAGCTTGCTTGAAGTGGATGTTGGTGTGGAGGGTCTTTATGGGATGGTATCCTCTGTTTCTTCCCCTCCTCACTCCTCTCTTCCCTTTTGCAGTGCTGCCTGCCCTCATCCTCCTCTCCCTCAACTCGGGCGCGAGGGTGCGGGGAATCTTGGATCCCAAGGCTACGATGCAGTCGAAGTGTTGTCGTTGTGGTTGGATGGCAGCCCAGTGTCCACGAGTATCGAACCGTAGTTTAAGTACCGGTAGCGTAGGTGCCGTACCGGGGCACTCGCATCATACCGAGATGGTGTGTGTGCAGTGCCGCAGAGCACCACCACCCCCATAGCCAAGTTATGATAGCGGTAATCCTATCTGGAGGGGCGATAGAGATCAATTGATGGCCCGCCAATGCATGCATGGGGGTCACTTTTGTGAACCGGTATCACAGAGCAGTGGATACCGGTATCGCTCTCGCCCTTCACGGGTTCGCCGTTCGGGCCCGGAATTTGCGGTATCATACGGCACTCCGATAGATCCCCGTCCGGTCAGGGAGGAAGAGGATTCTGGGTGCGGGCAAGAGGGAATCATGATATGCGCGTAGGGTATGATATTAAACTGACCACGGGCGGACTACAAGCACCAGTGCATACAGTACCTACTCCAGTACTGTATGTATAGTGCCGGCACTATACTCTTTTAATACATTTCGCTCCATCTCTTCCTCCTCCTCCGCATCCCTCCTCCTTCCCTACCAGCTCTCGCCTGCCCACAATACTCCACGTTACTCTATCGTAATTGGTTCGTACAGTAATCACTTCTCCGTCTTCACCTCCATCACCGCTAATATCTCCCCAAATCCTACACCCCTCCCCCCTCTCGTCTTCCTCGTGCCATCACCGTCATCCATCATATGTACCCGGTCAATCGAGCCGTGTCCTTCTCAGAAACCTAGTCCCCATTTGTTCACTGAATCCTCTCCATCCGCCGCTGATCTGCCACTACCCGCCCTCCCTCCCACCTTCCTGAACTCTTCGCCCGCTGGATTGCCGCCCCCACTCCCCCTCTCGCCTCCCTGACAGCCTCTCCTGCGAGAGGCCCACCGTTCGAATCCTCCCATCGACCCTCCCAAGTTCCTGGCAACCGTGCGAGGGACGAGCGAAACCTCCCCAAACCCACCAACCTCCCCCTTCCGAGACCCTTTCGCCTGCACTTCCAAACGACAACAAGCGGAGTCCCGAACAATTCACACGTCGACCCCGAAAAAGAAGGCGAAATATATCGTCCCATAAAAAGAGAGAACCCAGAAAACCCTTACTCCCCTAATCTACTCCATCTCCTATTTCCGAGATAGCACTCCGTCGCTCGGCATGTTGAGCTCCTTTAAGAGCCTATCATGGATGGACCGGTCGGTCAGTAACTGTTTCTTCTTTTTTCTTGTGGCTTCTTCAGAGTTCGGTGTTTCTTCAAAAAAAACCCCCAGCCAGACACCACCCCACCCCCCCTTCTGGCTCACCACCATTCTGCACGTCTGCGTTCCCGGGTGTCGAAAAAGTCTTGGTGAAGCTTGGAAGCGGCCCGCGAGATGCGAGGGGGCTTGCTTCGGAGGGGGGATGCGCGCTGAGATAGAGTGCTGACACGACTGATGCTTACCCCAGAATCATCATCAGCCTTCCACTCAATCACCTACGAAACAGAGGGCCGATTCTTCACCAACAGGATTACAGGCCTTGATAGGCGATGGCCCGCCCAGGCCGGATGGTAGCGACAAGTACTTTGGGATGGAGAATGTGGTTGGCGTATGTCCTAACTTTTTATTATTATTGTACTTCGTGAGAATCACTGGCTAACGTTGGACTCGATTTTCACGCGCCCTAGTTTGGAAATACTTGGTAGGCTAACTCTTGAGCCTTGGAAACTGTTTTTTCCTTGCTACGTCTGACTATTTGAATCCTGGTGGCTGACTTTCCGCCGCAGCTACTGTAATTCAATCCTACAGTGCTTGTACTATTCAAAACCTTTCCGAGAAAACGTCGTCAACTTTCCCCACAGATCGAATCTACCAAGTTCGAGCAATAGCGATGCTACTCTGCTGCCTGGATCGGATAGCCGGAATCTCGCCCGAGTTAGCACGGATCCCCTGCCGGGGTCGTCCGGTCCCCCGGGCCCGGTCGCGCGAAAGCCATCCTTAACCCCCGCGATCAAGGAGGAGACCAAAAAACCAAGGATACCGGTGTCGGCTTCCCTAACACAAGGTCCAACTTTCGGTCCCAATGAGAACAAGGACACCCCTGAGGTGAAGAAGAAGCTTGCATTAGCGACGGGGCCCGTGTTGAATGTCGATCAGGGAAATCATGCAAACTACGGGATGGAGGAGTCGCTGTTCTCGGCATTGAAGGATATCTTTGAAAGCATCGTGGCACACAATTCGCGCACGGGTGTTGTCAGTCCGAATAGGTTCCTAGATATCCTAAGGAGTGAGAACGACATGTTCAGTGGGCAGCAGCACCAGGATGCCCATGAATTCCTGAATTACCTCCTCAATCAGGTGATAGAGAATGTGGAGGATTATCAAAAGAAGCATGGTCACAGGAACGGCAATGCCGCGACCAATTCAACCCCTGCCAAGTCATCCGGTACACTAACACCTGTAAACGCCTCGTCGGCAGCCTCCACCGCGTCCCTTACCTCCACATCTTCCACTGGTTGGATCCACGAGCTATTCGAAGGCCTGCTAACCTCGGAGACCAAGTGCCTCACTTGTGAGAATGTTTCACGCCGAGACGAGCAGTTCCTCGATTTGTCGATCGATCTAGAGAAGAATTCGTCTGTGACATCATGTTTACGAAATTTCTCCGCCTCGGAAATGCTATGCGAACGTAACAAATTCCATTGCGACAGCTGTGGGGGGCTGCAAGAAGCGGAAAAACGGATGAAAATAAAACGGCTGCCGAGGGTCCTTGCCCTGCATCTGAAGCGCTTCAAGTTTATGGAGAACCTGGGGCGATTCGACAAGCTTCACTACCGAGTCCTTTACCCATACCACCTGAGGCTATTCAATACGACGGACGACGCTGAAGACGCGGATAAGCTGTACGAGTTGTACGCTGTTGTTGTGCATATCGGTGGTGGGCCCTATCATGGGCACTACGTTGCCATTGTCAAGACCGAGGACAAGGGCTGGCTGCTGTTTGATGATGAATTGGTTGAACCGGTGGACAAGGCGTTCGTAAGGAACTTTTTTGGGGAGCGGCCAGGAATGGCATGCGCCTACGTTTTGTTCTACCAGGAGACCACATTCGAGGCTGTGCAGCGAGAGATGTGGGTGGACGAGCAGGCGGCAGGGGCGGCCACCAGAGCATCAGCAGAGGCGGCGAAAACAGAATCCGCGAAATCTAAAGGACACGCGAACGGAATCAACGGGCATAGTGTAAGAACGTCAATGACGGAGCACCTACCAAACCTGCACCCTTCCAGCTCTTCTCCATTGCCAAAATCCGAAACGCCAGCCGGTACCAGCGACCAGCAGCCGGCCGAAGCCACTGCGAAACAGCCTTTCCCACCCGTCCCAAGCGCCGTCAGGTCGAAGAAAGAGAAGAAGGGGGAGAGGAGCGATAAGAAGGACAAGACAGAGGGCTCTCACGGAGGCATGAACAGGTTCAGGAACACTAGTCGCAGTCTCCGCCAGGCTCCCAAGTGGCTAGGAGGTAGAGATAAGGAGCGCAATAGCACGCACGAGGAGAACGGAGCGATTCCAGATCTACCACCGCTTCCCGTCACACCCGGGCTTCCGCTGTGCGACAAGAAGGAGACTCCGAACGGGGTCGGCCATGAGAAGAATACGGATGACGAGAGGGATGGGGACGATTTCCTACCCAATGCCGAAGTACCGCCAGTTGTCGGGTCACCGGGGGCAGCTGTTCCGGTGGTCGTATCGTCAGGGGTGGGGGTGGAGGAATCACCGGTGGAGCCAAAGGAGGAGGTAGCGGTCCCCCAGGAGGCGGAGGGGGAGAAGGAGAACAGCAAGAAGAAAGACAAGAAGGAGAAGAAGGAGAGAAAGGAGAAGGAGAAGGAGAAGAAGACTCGCCACAGGTCTAGTTTCTTTGGCCTCCGAAAGAAAGCTTCGGTCGCATTTCATTCAGAGTCCTAATTATTGTTTGATTTTGTCTTTTGTTTTTCCTTCCTGTGCTTTTTCCTTTTCAATCTCTCTGTCCAAGGCATGGCGTGGTCTTTTTTTTTTTTTTCTCCAAATTTCTTCAGATGTATTCCGCACCGAGTAAAGGGGAATTTTTCCCCCTCTCCCTTCGCCCTCTCCGGAGGAGCTGATCAAGGTAAGGTTAAAGTTAAAGCGGAGCCCTTTTTTCTTTTTCCTTTCTCCTCTCATCCATCACCCGTTTCAAGCACTTTTTAAACAAAATCAAACTCAATGCTTAATAATCCAATGCTTGTTTCCTCCTCCTCCCCCTCCTGTTTGCGGCCTGTTTCTCGCTACCTTTATTCCAGGACTGAGCTTGCTAGAATGTCGGCATTGGATAGAAAAGTTGTGTCTTGCTTCACGGTGTACGGTACTTTCGACGGGGTCATTGTATGTATTGTGTCGATTTGTTCGGGTCTGTCTTGTACGAGCGGCTTGGAGATGGCGTTGAAAGGTGTCTTGCAATATGATACAGCTGGGACGGAGCAATTAGAATCCGTGAATACGTGATCTTCTCCCTCACTCTCTCTCCCTCCCCACCCATACATAACAAATCACCAGATTCCCCAAGGGCATGCACAAGCACATGCACATAGACCCCACTCGTCCCACTCCTTCACCAATCATACTGTACGAGTACCGTACCATACGGTAATATCATCTCGTGCTCAAGCACTGCACTGGAGTGCTCGTACGGTGCTGTACTGTACCGTACCCACATGTCCCCCTTCCCCCCAACAAAAATAAAATAAAAGCCAACCCCGACCAATCCAACTCCACCCACACTGGCGCAACACCCTAGACTAGCCTGCAGCAACCCCGTCGGACCATTCAAGCACGCAGGATACACACCACCCTGCATACTGTTCCAAATCCGCGACCCACACGACGCACAAGTTCCCGGCGGCCCAATGGCGCTCGCAGAAAGTGAGCCTGCAGAAAATGTTTCAGGCTCGGTCCAGTTTGAAATGTCATTGTGTAACCGTGAGCGGGTATATAAAGACACGAGTGCCCCGCTGGGAGATGGGTTCGGATTGTAGTCACGTGATCTGGGAGTCTGGGCTGTCGTGGTCGATGAGGAGGCGAGGTGAGAGAGCGGAAGATTGGGGGGCTCGCTAGGGCATTGTACAAGTACGATAGTCCACAGTACGAAATATTTCGGTGGTTGTTGTCAGTTCGTATCCCGTGAACATGTCTACTGTATCCGTCCATCGAGCTACGGTATGTAATGAATACTCGAGTATCATATCATAGGAGGAAATGGTCTCGCCGGGTTGTCTCGGTCGTGCTCTTTTGTACCGTACTGTGCTGTGGGAATTAGTCTACGGTAGATAGGGAGGGTGGGGGGGAAGCAACCGGCTGGGACCGATGCTTTTGTTGGTGAGTGCTGCCGCGTTATGGAGAAGTGAGTGTTTGCAAAGCTGTGCCGTACGGGGGTACGGTACTCGTACTCGAGTACTTAGGGTGTGCGCAAAAGTCCGTCGAACCCCGCCCCCATAGGCCGAGTTTGTACAGTATGTGTATGGAAGCCTCCAAGAACACATAATTGGTGGATTCCTTCACAATTTGGTGAAGGAGAAAAGTCTGTCGAACTCTTGGTACTGTACAGCAGCTGGAGCAAGGCTGGAGCGAATGCTGCTCTCTAAGTTAAGTGGTCGACACGGCCCTGGAGCAATGAGCGGGACTTCGACAGACTTAGACTACCCACAACCCCCGGTACCGTACAGCACGATTGACTAGTCTATGTATCGTGATAACCGTACTGGCCACGATCGATACTCGCGGATCTGGTACCGTAGTCTAACGAGCATCATACGGTAAAATGTCGGATTCCTGATCGCCAAGGCCCGCACAACCGGATGGATAACTTAGGTTATCCTTGGAGGTCCGGGTGTCCGGACAGGTTAGAGTACCGTTCGGTATTAAATTAATATCTTTGAAATGCACGAAAGGGTGTCGTATGATACGGTTCGAGTACATGTAACCAACTGTACTAGTACTAGCACAGTACAGCACACCTCATAACAGCTCACCACGACAAATTTTAAGAGACATACTTTCCATCGCTGAAGAGTTACCCTTCCGACCCATTTTTATTTATCGCTTGTCCTCTACCTGTCCGAGTTCATAGTACCAGTACAGTATTGTACTCATACAAGCATCATTAATCATAGTATGAAGGTGGCAATCACCCTTTCCCCAGGACCGAGTGGAAAGAAAAGAAGAAAAAAAAGAAAGAACAATCTAGACTACATCATAATCGCCCGCTACGAGAACAAGTACGGGCGATAGACGAGCATTCATCATATTCGAGTGCACATCGTGAGATGAAGGTGAAACGTGCACAAGTTCCTTCTCGCCGTTGGTTGGGTAGGTGAGGGATGGATAAGCTTGGTTGGACTAACCCTGCGGAGATCATCTGGGATGTTTCTGCTAAGGACTGTTGTTATTTATTGGTCGATTCTGCGTGTGGTGGGTGGGTGGGTGTTAAGACTGGATGGATGGATGGATGGATGGATGGATGGATGGATGGATGGATGGATGGGGGGTTAAAATTGTTCTTGGCGGTTCGCTGGCGGATTATGTGCTTCCATAAGTACTCGAGTATGTTATGAGAGGTATCGATCGGTATGTTAGTGTACTCGTACATTACTATGACTGCGCAGATTTGATGCGTTGGTGTGCGCAGTACCGTATTGTGCTGTGCTGTACACGAGCAGGGCACCATTGGCTCCTGTCAGCCAGCATTTGGTGGGGCGAGAGTATATCATACCCGTATTGTAGTGTACATAGTACTGTGCCCGGATGCTAACGATATTGTAGCGGCAGTGTATGAGTCAACAGATGGATAGACCAAACCTCCCATAGCCGAAGGAAAGAACCAAAAAGGGTCAGAGTAATTAGAAACCTGGACCAGTTGCACTGTACTCGTATATAATTTATCATAGGTGTCCACTTTTCCCCCAGGCCCAGGGCTTTATGTACGCCAAGCTCTAGAAACCGGTTTGTACCTTACCGAGGCTAATTCCGATTACGGGTATTATCATACCTTGGCTCCACACCTTGGAGAAATGGCAGACGATGGAGCACTAAAACCGCAAAAGGGTTATGTCTCTCATTAAATCCACCACGTACAGTAAAACGAAGGTCTCAAAAGAGTGATGTGATCGTCTGATACCCAATCCAATCCGATCTCTCCTGCACATCCTATGATACCTCCCAGCAAGAACCCTAGCCACCCGGGCGAAAGTGAGGGGGGGAGAAGAAGGCAGAGCAGGAGAAAGAGAAACCCAGTATCAACAGATATAGCCAACTTCACCAAAATAATAATAAGAGAGTTTCCTGCGAGATCTGAATTTACCTACATTCTTAGATCTTAGGTGGGCTGAAAGTCGGCAGCTAAAAAAAGGCAACAGTTTCCGAGTTCCTTATGGTCTCGAGGGGGCCAACACTGGTAGATGTTACCAAGGGAGAGAGGTAGAGGCCTGATGTATCATAGCGCTCATTTTATAACTTGGCTGATGAATCAGATTCTAATTCTCAATATATCGTCTTAGATCACGAACTATCACTCTAAAGAAATAGTTGTGACAATCACTTTTACGTCACACTTGCTTTTACCCACTAGGGGTGAAGCGGAATAGGAGGGGAACCGACTATTAAGGTATACCAAGAAACCCTTGAATCCTTGATTCACAATAAAATTTGATGTCTGGAGAGTGGCGAGGCAGCCCACTGGAGTGCATCATTCTGGGGAAGAAAAAAACTGGTTGGAGTTAGTATACAGGGACTGTACAAAAAGTAAAGCATAAAGTACATAGGGGACACAAGGAAAATCTAATGCGCAAGGGAATACATGTATTTTGTTATACAAATGATAGCCTCCCCGCAAATTCCCCCCGCCTCTTCAGCTACCCCTCCCCTATTTCCTCCCTTCCTCACCTCTGCCTCCCCCCACGCGGCTACTACCACCGCCACCTCATCACCAGTCTTCCTGTGAAATTCCTAGAAGTGGGGTTTGAAGGTCTTCTCCCTTGAATAAGACCTCCGGGTAGTGCGGTCGGGTCCGGGCATGATGGCCCACTTTTGGCATCATGGAAATACCTCTGGTGTATATTGAGGTAATCCGACCTCTTGAAACTGGCATTACCTATAACACACGGGAATCGTGTGCCTTCCACAGGGTTTCCGTGAACAAATGTAAGGCCGCCCACAGGGGAAGAGGGTTGGGGAATGGATGGCAGGCGGGGGAGCTAGCGGGAAGCACAAGGCTAGGGAAATAGGGGCGGGTCGGTAGCTCTCAACTCTAGCAACGGAACAGAAGCACGGCTCTAGACTGGGGGAATGGCACCAGACTGGAAGAAAGGGAATGGGGGGACAGCACCCAACGGCAAGAGTGGGAGCTAGGGGGCAGTGCCCAACTGAAGAGAGGGGGCAAAGGGGCAATGTTAGATTGGAAGAGCGGGGATGTGGGGACGGCATCCCACTAGTAGAATAGGAGCCCAGTGGCAGCACCCAACTGCAGCAACGGGGGCGGGGGCAGCGCCAGACTGGAAGAGCGGGGACGGAAGGACAGTGGCTGTCTGCTCTTGTAGGAACTAGGAGGGAGCACCAAATTGGAGGAGCGCGGACGAGGGGACATTCCCCTCCTAAGAGAACAGAATTAGTGGGGATTCCATTGGCTCAGAGTTATCACGAGGGGGTTCTTGAGCCAGCTGATCATTCTATGCTCCAGCCATATCCCCAATGATACAACCTAACTCAAGGCGTATGCTCACAATCTCTGCCTCTCCTTGAACCCAGGGGGTACCAAGATCTTGAGGATCCACTTCCCCCGTCTCACGTCCCTATCCCCCAAACTTTTCTGGCATGTCAGGAGTCGTCGGCGGTTCACTGAAGCAAGTAGTTGTGTTTAGAAATAGTTAAATTTATAATGGAGATTTAAAAAGCAGACC